AAATTTCTTAGACCTATGAGGGGAATCCGTGAATTTGCTACACATTAAAAGTAGAGAACCGCTGACTTGGGGGCAGGTACCTTTTTTAAAAAACATGTTTATATTGATTTTTTTAGAGACAAAGAAAGGGAAAGAGATAGAAATATTGATGAGAGAGAAACATCGGTCAGCTGCCTCCTACATAACCTCTACTGGAGATCAAGCCTGCCACCCAGGCATGTGCCCTGACCAGGAATCAACTTTTGGCTCATGGGTTGATGTTCAACCACTGAGCAACACTGGTCAGGCAATTCTTTAATATTTTTACTATTCTTATTTTGTCTCACTGCATTCGACTTTTTATCTTATTTATTTTAATAATCATAAACTACAATCTTGATATATTAAGATTATTTTCCTAGCCCAAACATAATAGATTTTATAAAAGTTTTGATATGTGGTAATATGGATGTTGTAGGGTATAAAGGAAGCTTATAAGACGGTGGGAAGCTTTGCTGCCAAATTTCACCTAGTTTTAAAGATCCAGAGAGTATTGCCCAGTTTCTAATTCAAGTTTTTTTTTTTTTAATAAAATATATTTTATTGATTTTTTACAGAGATGGAGAGGGATAGAGAGTTAGAAACATCAATGAGAGAGAAACATCAATCAGCTGCCTCCTACACGCCCCCTACTGGGGATGTGTCCGCAGCCAAGGTTCATGCCCCTGACCGGAATCCAACCTTGAGTCCACAGGCTGACTCTATCCACACAGCCAAACCGGCCAGGACAATTTTTTTTTTTAAAGTATGTTTTTATTAATTTTTAGAGAGAGAGAGAGAAACATCAATCATCTGCCAACTGCATGCCCCCTACTGGATCAAGCCTGCAACTAGGCATGTGCCTTGACTGGGAATTGAGCCAGGGATCTCTTGGTTCATGGGTCGATGCTCAGCCATTAAGCCACACTAGCCAGACTTTTCCTCAAGTTTTATATGATCGTCTTTGAACCATAAATTTGAAACTCATCACTTCTTAAAAAAATAGTTTTCCAGTGAAATATTTGAGATTCGGATTATTATATGCATATTTAATATGGAACAATGTTCCCTTAAATTTTTTTTTTAGTTGCAAGCAGATGAACATGCTATATAAGCAACAAACTACAGACTGCACTTATTTGGATGTTATAATGTGTAACCAAATAAAGCTTTCAGCAGTTATTTGACACATATTTAATGATATGCATAATTATTACTGTGTTGCATGGTCATTAAGCTTAAATATAAATGGCTGTTTAATATCAGTTTCCTGTGGCAGACTTCACTTTTCTGGGGCCAGCTTGAAGGAGGAAAAAAGATATGGCAGGCCAAGAAGCTTTTACAAAGATTCTGATTTAGAAATTTTGGTATAGAGAGATTAGGCGTTTGGGGCAGGGAGTGCTCATAACTTTAGTGCTACTAATTCTAGAGGCCACACACTTCCCCTTTTTTTCCCCACTACTCATGACCATATACTAGAGCGAGAAAGTGCGAAGATTCAGCCATTCCTTTACTTTCTCCAAATAGTTTTTTTCTGCCTAATAACTAGAAGTTGTGATGCAGAGGTCCTAACACTGATAGTGTACAAAGGACAGTTTCATGCCCTGCTTAAACCAAACCAGTTCTAGGTCTCAAGGTCTTAAGCTGTCATGAGCTCTAGTATTTAAGTTATTTAATTAACTTTGGTCTCTGAGAATTTCTGAACCTGATCTTTTCATGTTTTCCCAAAGTAGGCTTTCTACAACAAACAGAAATGTCCCATGCATATGAAACAAAATGCAATGAAAACGAATTTAAAATCATCACTAAAACGAAAGTATAACTTAGAATATGCTTTTTTCCTACCAAGCTTGCCTTCCAGTCCACCCACACCCTCTCACCCTCAAATGAAATGAAATAAGTATTTTTGCCAATAGAAAAGTAGAGGCAAGTCAAAGATTCTAAAACTTAGTGAAAATTAACTGGGAATTATTCCTATTCATGCTTTGAGTTTCTAAGGATAATTTTTATTCTCTGCAACCTGGCTATGTAATAAAAGATTTTGTGATCAAGTATTTCTGCATCTGTGTGTGGCACTAAATTTTTGTGCTATCTGAAAAGATATGCAATGTTGGGAAAATTTTTTGATATTTCTTTTAGAACCTTCTATTTGCCAATTCAATATTGGTTGAAAAGGTAGCCTATATATCAACTGTAATTCAGTTAACTGTCACACATCCAAATGGAAACCATCCCCACACGCCATAATATTTTGAATTTAATTTAAAAAATCAATTTGCAATGCATATTATAAAAATATATTATTCATAATTCGGGTATTCTTGAATATTTTCAGCTGAAAATTCTCACGAAAAATGATTTTAAAGTTGGTCAGGGCTGCCACTTAGGGAAAACATTTTTTTTTTTAATAGATGCGCATGGAGTGTGGGGAAGGTCCATACCACTTGTGTCTACAGACGCTTATGGTGTACAATGGGTTAAAAAAAACTACCATGTTTCCCCAAAAATAAAACATCCTCCAAAAATAAGACCTACTTACAGGTTTCCTTCTGTGTGAAATATAAGGCATCTCCCCCAAAATAAGGCCCCCCTGGGCTAAACATGAGAGATTTGGTCCACTGATACTGGAAGAAATGGAGTCACAAGAAATTCACCAGGAAATTCAGTAATTGGATTTTTTTTTTAATATATTTTATTGATTTTGTACAGAGAGGAAGGGAGAGAGATAGAGAGTTAGAAACATCATGAGAGAGAGTCATCGATTAGCTGCCTCTTGCACACCCCCTACTGGGGATATGCCCGCAACCAAGATACATGCCCTTGACCGGAATCGAACCCGGGTCCTTCAGTCCCCAAGCCGATGCTCTATCCATTGAGCCAAACCGGTCTCGGCAGGAATTGGATTGTTATGATGATGTTCCAGAAAATGATGACATGATTGTCATTGAATAAATGAGTAAATTCTTGATACTGTGGGATTCACAGTTTGTCTGGTTTGTGTTGACAACTACCGTACTACCGTACCGTATACAGGTAATAAATTTCCTTTATTTTCATTTAACAATAAATGTGTACCGTATTCTTCTTCATGGAAAAATAAGACATCCCCTGAAAATAAGACCTAGCGCATCTTTGGGAGCAAAAATTAATATGAGACACTGTCTTATTTTCGGGGAAACAGGATACCTAATCTTTGATGCTGCTTTATCATTTATAGAATACTTTTATATACCTTATCTCTTTAAAAAATATTTATTGTTGAAAGTGTCACATACTTATTTCTTTTTAAAAAGTCTTTATTGTTTAAAGTTATATATATCTCCTTTTTTGCCCCCTGCGTTGACCTCTTCTAAACCCCCTTATCCTCCCCCCCACCCCAGGTCTTCACCACCCTATTGTCTGTGTCCATGGATTATCTATATAATCTTTGTTAGAGAGGTGGTATTTTCAGGAAAAAAATTCTGAGTTAGAGAAGTTATGCAATATTTCCCATTCACACAACTACTAAGAAGCTTGAATCCATTACCTTTTCTTTTAATCTTCATCCAATGATATTTTTTATTGATTCTTAGAGAGGGAGGAAGGGAGAGCAAAACATCGATGTGAGAGAGAAACATTGATTGGTTGCTTCCCATACATATCCTGACTGGGATTGAACCTGAAACCTAGGTATGTGCCCTGACTGGGAATCAAACCTGCAGCCTTTTGGTGTACACGAGGATGCTTATACCAGCTGAGCCACCTGCTCAGGGCTGAATCCATAAATTTTTGGTTTTTTATATTTCATCTCTTTGTTTTTTTGTTTGTGTTTTTTGTTGTTAATCCTCACCTGAGGATATTTTTCCATTGATCTTTCAGAGAGAGAGGAAGAGAGAGAGAAAGATAGAGACTAACATCGATGTGAGAGAAACACATCAATTGGTTGCCTCCTTCACACACCCGATCAAGGCCAGGGCCTGGGATGAGTGCAACCAAAAGGTACGTGCCCTTGATAAGAAATAGAACCCGGGATCCTTTGGTCTGAAGGCTGGTAGTCTATCCACTGAGCCAAATTGGCTAGGGCTCTATTTCATCTCTTTGGATACCTTTTGCCAAATCATTTAATGTAAAAATGCACTATTAATGATTAAGACATATACAATAAATTTTAAATTCAATAGCTTATATTGTAAGTATAATATGACAGCTATTTAAATAAAATTTAGGACAATAGCATGAAATTTGTTCAAAATGAGCCCATTACAGCTGTGGTAAATGAAAATTGCTTCAATATAGACAAATTAAACCATATGTTATATAAACAACTAAAAGGGAAGAAAGTTTACTTTTAAATACTTTTTTCCAGTTACAGTTGACATTTAATATTTTATATTTTAAGTATTGTTTAAGAATTGTTTTAGTATATAGTGTAAATGATAAGGTAGAGAAACTATACTATATCTTTTACGAAATACTTATATATTTTATCTATTAGGTCAGTATGATATTTCTCATGAAATGTTGCTTCTTTTTCTGACAGTTTGTTATAGTATAAAAATGCAACTATTTTTATATAGTAATTTTCAATCCTACAACATTAAGCTTATCAAAGGTTTTGAGAGGAAATGACTAATTTCTTGCATTTAAAAAAATACTTTTCAGGTATTCCAGTCAAAGGAAGAAATAGCTCTTCTAAGATGGAATCTGTTGTTTGGGAATGTGGTTGATCACCTTGATATGTTTGGCCAAATGTGCCCTATGTAATAAAATGAAAAGAAGAGACAAGATGATATCATTTTCCTGTATTGTGAAACCAAAAACAAATGCCTTTTGTGAGATCAAGCTAACAAACCTCTGACAGTGCGAAGAGTATTTGACCGTTTGAAGAACTTAATAGTAAAATATAGAAGAGCACTTCTTCAAGCTGGGACCTGCAGGTGTACAAAGATCTAAAATACATATCAGAGGCCTAATCGTCCAAATCTCATTCAGATTCAAGAAGGATGGCTATGAGTTGGATCGTCTTCTATCTTTGGCCCTTAACTATGTTTGTGGGGCATATAGGTGGGCACAGTTTGTTTTCTTGTGAACCTATTACCTTAAGGATGTGCCAAGATTTGCCTTACAATACTACCTTCATGCCTAATCTTCTGAATCATTATGACCAACAGACAGCAGCTTTAGCAATGGAGGTAAGACTTAATATATTCTTTTGACATATCTTAAAAAATGATTCTTATTTTGCCCTGTTAACTTACCTAATGAATGTGACTTATAAACAAAAGGGAAAAGATGTTAAAAGGATCTTCAAACTATTAGTTATTGATTTAGGTTCTTCAAACTATCAATTCTTTAAACTATTAGAAGAATTGATTTTGGGGGAATGTTACTTATTTTTTAGACATATTTTATAAAGAAATTTGAAATTGGAAAATGGAAGATAATAGCCATTTACTAATAGAAGTTTAAAATTGCCCAAGTTAGGATTACATTTTTCTGTTATTTGACTGATAATAAAATTTTAGATAAAGACAATATAATAATATCCATAATTCATTCATTAAGTATTGATGGTAATTTTATTTTGCAAAAAGTTCTTTTGTTCAGCCTTTAGGCCAGTGGTTTACAGTATTTCAATTTTTTTAAATGCTTAAAATTATTTTCTGGCCTACCATGTTAACATTAGTTTTGTGTGTTTTTTAAGAACAATAACTGAAGCAACAAAAATTTTTTTGCTATCTGAATTTATCTGTTCTTGACTCCTCAAAATTTTATGAAAATTTACTTGAATTTTTCTAATGGTAATTTTTTTAGGCACTTTTAATGATTTTACTTTATTAATTTATTTTAATATTTTTTATTCATTTCAGAGAGGAAGGGAGAGGGGGAGAGAGAGAGAGAAACATCAATGATGAGAGAAAATCATTGATCTGCTGTCTCCTGCAAGCCCCCACAATTGGGGCATGTGCCCTTGACCGGAATTGAACCAGGACCCTTTAGCCTACAGGCTGATACTCTGTGTCCACTGAGCCAAACCAGCTGGGCTGATTTTAGGGTAACAGGCAATTAGAAAACTATGACAAATTAATGTGTGCAATTAATAATAGGTTTAAATAAGCATGTATTTCTATACTGGTTTTAGACTTGTGGACAGGGATATGTTTACCAGATAAGAACAAGGAGGCAGTAAATGGTGGCAATAAGGAGCATAGGTTTTTGGATTTGGACAGACGGGGCTTTGAATTTTAGCTCTATCACTTTCTAGCTCTATTACTTTGGGCAGGTTGTATGAACTTTTCTTATTATAGTTTCTTTGCTTGTAAAATGGAGTTAATAATCAAAACAAGCTTTTGTAAAATACCAAATAAAACCACATGTACTAAATAGTTGGCACATATAAGTACTCTAAAAGTGATAACTTTTACCATTTACCCATTTCCTCATATTAATGTGGCTTTATAATACATATAATTTACAGAGAATGTTTTCTACTTTAGTCTTGAATCCATTGTTACAGTGCTTTCAGCAAATTGAAGCTTACATGTTTTGGAACTCTTAGTTTCATAATAAAACTAGAGGCCTGATGCATGAAAATTTGTGCACTGGAGGGTGGGAGGATCCCTCAGCCTGGCCTGTCCTCTCTCACAGTCCAGTCCAGGAGCCCTCAGGGGATGTCCTACTGGTGGCTTAGGCCCACTTTCCCCTAGGGAGCAGGCCTAAGGCACAGTTTGGCCTCTCTCTGCAGAAGGTGACCAGGCTGGTCAGAGGAAGATGCCACTCCATCACCCCAATGCTGCTGCCACTGCTGGCCGCCACGGCAGCCGGCTCTCCTTGGCCCTCACAGCTGCTGCAGCTTTGTCCAGAAGACGGTAGGTCTATCTGGCCTAATTAGCATATTTTCCTTTCATTAGTTTAGATTCAAAGGTTCTTACTTCCAAATAGACTAACATAAATCTATCTGGGAAAATTTGTAAAAAGATCACTATTCATAGATTTTAAAATGTGGAGAGCATCCTATATATTCCAAATCTTTAAAGATGTTATAGAGGTTGAACAAAACATTTTCTGCTTTTTCTCTGACTACACAAGGTCTAACTAGTAAAGAGAGATTTGATACTGATTGGTAGATGAAAATGAGTATTGGTTTTAATACAGTAATTTGTTTCCAGGCATGGTAATTCCTAATGTGCATTGAAGCCATCAGTTTTCTCACAAAAATAAATTGAAGTAGGAGTACCCTTGATTTTAGTATCACATAGGTTAGTACAACTCCTTTGGAAAGCAATTAGAGTGGTAAGAAGCTGGTTATAAAGATTTTTGTACTTATTTGGGTTCACTTTTTGTCTATAACTTTAAGACTTTGGAGTTAAATCACTTACCATCCCTGAGTCTTGGTTTCTTCATTTGTGAAAAGACATTAATAATGAAAATATCTGAAAGGGCTGTTAGGCTTAAATGAAAGATTTATAAAGTAGATAGCACAATTCATGGCACACAATAGGTGATTCGGAAAAGTTGATTTTATTCCAAATTCCATCCTATCTAATAAAAGAGTAACATGCAAATTAATCAACACTTGGCTACACTCAAAGCCATGCCCACAAGTCACACCCACCAGCCAATCAGAGCGAGCATGCAAATTAACCCTAATCAAGATGGCTGCAGCCACAGAGAGCAGGAGGGAGGTTTGGGTTTCCCTGGCAATGAGGAAGCCAAGCTTTTCACACATTCTGGTGGGCCCAGACTTCCACTCAAGGGTACAAAGTTTCAATTATGGAAGGTAAATAAATCCCAACAGAAATGGTGGCAGCCACTGAGCTGGAAGAGCAGGAGGCTAGGGTTTCCCCGGGTGAGGAAGGAAGCCAAGCTTTTGCAGCCCTGGTTGGCTCAGGCCTTCACTCCAGGCTACAAAGTTTCAATTATAGAAGATACATAAATTTCAACAGAAATGGTTGCTGTCATGGAGCGAGCAGGAGATTTGGCTCCGCTCCAGGCTACAAAGTTTCAATTGTAGAAGATATCGATAAATAAATTCCAGATACCAGCGCCTCTACTTGAGTTGCCGGGGGGCATGGCTAGCCTGCAAACCACCACAGGCCCCTCGCCCAGGCCGCCCCATTCCCCAAGGAAACCCTCACCCTGATCTGGGACACCTTCAGGGCAAACCAGCCGGCCCCCACCCGTGCACCAGGTCTCTATCCTATCTAATAAAAGAGTAATATGCAGATTGACCATCACTTCAACACACAAGATGGCTGCCCCTTGTGGACACAAGATGGCCACCACAAGATGGCAAGCAGGGGAGGGCAGTTGGGAGGGACCAGGCCTGCAAGGGAGGGCAGTTGTGGGTGATCATGCAAGCAGAGGAGTGCAGTTGGGAGGCACCAGGCCTGCAAGGGAGGGCAGTTGGGGGTGATCAACCCTGCAGGGGAGGGCAGTTAGGAGTGACCAGGCCGGCAGAGGAGGGAAGTTGGGGGCAGTTAGACATCAATCAGGCTGGCATGGGAGTGGTTAGGGGGTGATCAGGCTGGCAGGCAGAAGCAGTTAGGGGCAATCAGGAAGGCAGGCAGGCAGGCAAGCAGTTGGGAGGCAGCAGTCCTGGATTGTGACAGGGATGTCCGGTGGGATTGGGCCTAAACAGGCAGTTGGACATCCCTGGAGGGAGTCCCAGATTGGAGAGGGTTGAGACTGAGCTAAGGCACCCCCCCCCCCTTCCTGCACTAATTTTATGCACTGGGTCTCTAGTTTCTAAATAATCATACTAGAAAAATGATGTATGTGTTCCAAGTGAACTTGTAGGCTCATGGAACATTAATAATGATGGCATGTTAAGCTGTTTTTATCCTTTTCACAAATAAGCCCATGTAGTCTAGATTTTTGGCAATAAGGTTTCCTCGGTTGAAGTTTCACGTATTCTAGGGAAAGCACCTAAGTGGGTAATACTTTCTAAGAGAAGGTTCTAGTGATTTAAAGTGATTAATATTGGGGATAGTTTGCTTGTACTAGTAGTATGGTGGTCATATCAGGACAATTCTACACTCACATATAGTCATCTGATGGTTTGAGAGGGTGAAGTTTCTGTAATAGTAAAAGGTACTCAGCAGTCAACACAACATACTTCCAGAAGGAAGTAAGGATTCTTGGGTCCTTACAAGGACTTATATCTGCTGATGACACCCTTTATCCAGGAACTTTGGATATATGTCTGCCAGCTTTTATCAAGAGCAAGTAATAGGAGCAGATAATCCCAGCACATTCTTGAGTGTTCACTGTGGGACTTGGATTGAAAGATGAGTTCCTAGGTGTAGCATCTTTCAGCAGGCCCAGGCTTCACACCTGCCTGACTTATTTCTGTTCTGATGTTTGGTGAGTCAAAATAAGTGCTTGCCCCGAGACCGGTTTGGCTCAATGGATAGAGCGTCGGCTTGGTTACTGAAAGGTCCCGGGTTCGATTCCGGTCCAGGGCATGTACCTTGGTTGCGGGCACATCCCCAGTAGTTGGGTGTGCAAGAGGCAGCTGATTGATGACTCTCTCGCATCGATGTTTCTAACTCTCTATCTCTCTCCCTTCCTCTCTGTACAAAATCAATAAAATATATATTAAAAAAAAATAAAATAAGTGCTTGCAATCAGATAGTAAATGACAGTGAACTAGGGGTATACAGATAAGAGAAAGTACAGGATCTGGGTTATCTCGAACTTGATTATTTACAATCAACAAGTTGGATATTCTTTCATTGTATATAAAAGATTTTAAGTCTATACTTTCATTGAAATTGGGAAATGTTTAAATAATAGGATAAGTATCACTGTATTAAGTTGGAAAGGAAGATCCTTTGCTGGTATATTTATTTCTCTACCCTACTTTCCAAAACATGCACATGTATACACAAACACACTAAATATTTATAACTTTTTAACTTGATGTCTTTTTTCCCCCCTTGAGTATTAGTGGCTTTTGATAGAAAAAAGTTTCTCAAACCATTTTGAGTTGTCCAGATTGTTAAGTAAAATTTTGGAAGCTGTACAGCATGGATAACAAATTGTCAGTAAGTGCCAAAACCGGTTTGGCTCAGTGGTAGAGCGTCGGTCTGCGGACTGAAAGGTCCCGGGTTCGATTCTGATCAAGGGCATGTACCTTGGTTGCGGGCACATCCCCAGTGGGGGGTGTGCAAGAGTCAGCTGATTGATG